TCCCTTGCTTCTATTTTCCCTTTTGCAAGAGAAACTGAAGCCGGAGTACTTGGAGCAGCTGCCCGGGAAGCTGAAGCTGTTCTCCCAGTTCCTGGGGGTCCAGAAGTGGTTTGCTGGGGAGAAGGTATGTCACTAGACAGGGACTGAGGACATAGCTGCTCCGTGTTAAAGAGAGGCCAGAGATGGGAAGTGCAGATCGGGATGGTTCTGATCTGACGCTCTGCTTATTTTCATTCTAATTTCCAAGCTCACCTATGTCGACTTCCTCGTGTACGACATCCTGGATCAGCACCGCACGTTCGCGCCCAAGTGCCTGGATCAACTAAAGAATCTGAAGGATTTTCTTGACCGATTTGAGGTGAGCTTGGCCCTGACTCCCCTGTGACATGCTGCTCTCTGGATCTCCAGGGCTGGCCAAGCTAGTTCCAGTTCTGCAGGGTCTGCAGCATGTGACCCTTGGTCAAGTTACTTTTCCCAATTAAGGTTGATAGATGGTTTCTGTTCTAAGCCTTCTGCACCCTTTATCTTGTCAAAACAATAACCCACCTCTTGGTCCTTTTCACAATATATGGAATCGGAGTTCACCTTAAACAGGAGGTGTTCATTATAGAAGACAATCACACACTAAAGACACACAAACAAGTTTCCACACAGCTCAAGTTCCAGCACTGTCTCCCTTGTGAAGAGCTCCAGACAGGGAACTGGTGAACAGCACATAGTCATAAGAACATAAGAAAGGCCGTACCGGGTCAGACCAAAGGTCCATCTAGCCCAGTATCCTGTCTACCGACAGTGGCCAATGCCAGGTGCCCCAGAGGGAGTGAACCTAACAGGCAATGATCAAGTGATCTCTCTCCTGCCATCCATCTCCACCCTCTGACAGACAGACAGGCTAGGGACACCATTCCTTACCCATCCTGGCTAATAGCCATTAATGGACTTAACCACCATGAATTTATCCAGTTCTCTTTTAAACTCGGTTATAGTCCTAGCCTTCACAACCTCCTCAGGTAAGGAGTTCCACAAGTTGACTGTGTGCTACGTGAAGAAGAACTTCCTTTTATTTGTTTTAAACCTGCTGCCTATTAATTTCATTTGATGACCTCTAGTTCTTGTATTATGGGAATAAGTAAATAACTTTTCCTTTTACGTCCGCTTTTTTTTTTTTTTGTTCCACTCCGGCCGCCCTGTAGGGGGCA